GGTAATGCAGAATCTTTCCATCTTTGTGCATACAATAATCTCGCTGCGGTTATCACAAAAATAAAATTCCATGATTTTTTTCTAATTGTCCATCAATCTGAAAAGAAAGACCTTTGGTCTCAATTGTATATTAATCTTTAAATTCTCTGAATTAGTCTATGTATTTGAATCCAAAATTTTCTAGCTTTTTTACGCGGCCACCAAGCATGATAACAGGTCCCTTCTTGTTCACATTTCCAGCATAAATTTGAAGTGCCTTTATACATTCTAGACAATTTCTCTGGAGACATATATCAACAGTACAATCATTTTATAAAAACTCTTTTTAAGATTATAACATAATGTAAATTTCAATCCTTTCAACCACATATTTTCCCATTGTTCCAACTGTGTATTATAACCAAATTTTTTAGTCCACTTTATCATACATTCTTTCACTTGTTCTTCTGTTTCAAATTTCAATAAAAATTTATACATTTTAGCAATTACCTATTCATCATTTGTACACAATTCCATTTCAAACTTAGAATGTTCAAAACCATGAACTCTTTTGTCTACTTTAAATCTTAACAACTGTAAATAATAAAACTATTGGCAATTATATCCCTGTACCACCAATTCCTCTCTTGATTTTATTTTGAATTTCCCTTGACAAAATTCTAGTATCTCACAATAGGTTAGCCATTTATTTTTGCCTATTATTTCTCATCTATAAAATGCTGCTTCTGCTGGGAGCCACAAAGGTCTTTTTGGGCACAACCTCAGTTTATATCTACTGTATTCCATATTCTCCATTTGGCATATCTAACATAATGATTTTTAAAACCCACATTAACCTTGACTTTATTGTACCATAAATATCCATGTTACCCAAATCTCAGGTTGTGTTCTTCTACCTCCAAGAGCCTTCTATTTCTCAGCAGCACCCACTCTTTCATCCAAATCAAACAGCAAGCTGCACAATACAATTTCAAATCAGGTAGACCCAATCCATCTTTTTCCTTTGCATCTTGTAACAACTTATATTTAATGTGATTTTTTTCCCCTGCCACACAAATTTAGATATATCCTTCTGCCATTGTTTAAATGGTGCATCAGTTGTCAGAACAGGTATTGTCTGAAACAAAAACATCATTCTAGGGAGGACATTCATTTTTATCACAGAAATTCTCCCTAGCAATGACAGTTGTAGTTTCTCCCATCTTGACATGTCTTTTTTAATTTCATTCCATGTCTTAACATATAGTCATTTTGAAATAACTTACAATTCATATTTGTCATAGACATACCCAAATATTTTACTTTCTTCTCAATAAAACCTGTTTTATTCATCAGTTCTGTTTGATCTTCTATTTTCATGTTTTTTGTTAACATCTTCGTCTTCTGTTTGATCTTAAAACCTACCAGTGCACCAAATTCTTTTAGTTTTTCCATTACTGTTTCAATTCCCTTTAAATGATCTTCCAAAACCAACATCAAGTCATCTGCAAAAGCCCTTAACTTATAAGTTTCTTTTTAAATCTTTACTCCCACAATCCTCTTGTCTTATATCTCTATTCAGTATTTCAAGAACCAAAATAAAAAAAGAAGAGGCAGTGGACATCCCTGTCTTGTTCCTTTTTGTATCTCACAAGGCTTTATTAGATTTCCATTAACAATTAATTGTGCTTTTCTATGAAGTATAAATCGAACTTACCCATTTTATAAAGTTCTCTCCGAAGTTCATATCTTGCAAAACTTAGAACAAGAAAGCCCAGTTCAAATTGTCAAAGGCCTTCTCCGCATCTAAGAAAATCAATGTGGCTTATTTTTCATTATGTTGCTCCAAATATTCCAAAATGTCCAACACATTTCTAACATGGTCCTTTAACTGTCTTTTAGGTTAAAAACACATTGATCCTCATGAATAAATGCTTGCAAAATTATTTTCAGTCTATCAGCTAGAATCATTGTAAACAACTTGTAGTCATTATTCAGTAATGATATTGGTCTATCTGTAGTTTCTTCTTAGTCAAATCTTGTCCCTCCTTAATGGGACAATTAATGCTGTATTGGCCTTTCTCCAACTCTCTGGCATCTTCCTATTCTGTAAGACAGAATTCATTGTGTTTTGTAGAGGTGGTGAAAGTTCATCCTCAAAAAATTTATAATTAGAACCTGATGATCCATCTGGTTCAGGCACCTTTCCCAGTGTAATCTTTTTTATAGTTTCAGAAACTTCCTTTATTTTTATAGGTCCACTCATAATTAGTTTCTGCTCCTCTGTAATCCTTGGTAAATTTTGTTTCTGTAGGTATTCATCTATTTTCTCCAGAGAAATGTCACTTCTTTTATACATGTTAGAATAATATTGATGAAATGCTTTTTATATAGCCACACTGTCCATTAGTACAGTATCTCCCTCTTGTAATTTCAATATCATTTTCTTTTCTTCTTCTTTTCATAATTTATATGCCAGCCATTTCCCTGGTTTGTTTTCAAACTCAAGTTTTTTTTTCTTTACATAATTCATTTTTATTTCCATTTCTCTTACTGCTAACAGAGATAACTCTCATTGTAAACGTTTAATTTGTTGAGAAATACTTATCTTTGGAAATTTCTTTAATTCGTCTTTTCTTTTTAGCTCATCCAAAATACCTTGTGTTTTCTCAACTCTTCTTTTTGAGTTCACTATTATGTTGTATAAAACAACCTCTAATAAAAGCTTTACTTGCATTCCAACCCATTCTTAAATCAGTACCTTTACCTAAATTATTTTCAAAAATTCTTTTAATTTCTTTTTATAATCCTCCCCTATTGCTTCTTTCTGTGGCAACATTTCATTTAGTCTCCATCTAAAAGAACTAGATTTCCTTTTATAAGCCAAACTCACAGGATCATGATCCGAAGAAGTCTTTGGTATTATCTCTACTTCAGAAACCTAAGTAGCCAAATTCTTTCAAATCCAAATCATGTCTATTCTTGAAAAGGATCGATGTCTTTCAGAAAAGTATGTGTACTCTCTTGAACTGCCTTTTTTCTGTGTCCATATATCAACCAGCCCTAAATTGTCGTTCAAATCAAAGAAAATTTTTGGTAATTTGCCTTTAGTGATTTTAATATTTTTCTCAGAAGTTCTATCCAGTTGTGGGAAGATCATTCCAATCCTGCATCAAACTCCAATTTTCATAAGAGAAACCTATTAGTCTCTCCATAAGACCCTTATAGAACAGTACTTTATCCTCATTTGAAGCATAAATTCCCAGTATCAAAGTCTTAATCCCATGCAAATTAACTTCCATCCCAACAAATCTACAATGTTCATCAGTCAATACAAGTTCTGGTTTTAGATTCAGATTCAGAGTTTATTACAGTCTTAGACCAGTACAAGAAGTTTGTTCATGAGTGTCCTATGTTCACTTATAAAACTAAGAAATCTTTAGATAACATTTAATACATATTTAGGATACAATCTTTAGATAACATTTAATACATATTTAGGATACAATCTTTAGATAACATTTAATACATATTTAGGATACATATATAAGACAACCTGGCACAAAATCATAGGTAGAATTCAGACGAAACAATCCGTGTCTCAGATATAAGTAAGACAGTATCTACAATTTACCTAAAATATAATAACATCTAAAATTACAAAAATTTGATGACATCTAAAATGTAATCATAATATCTAAAATTATATGGAATTTAATAATGTCTGGACTTATATAAATTATATCTATGTAGCAGGAGCTTGCCCTATTAAGGACTAGCAGATCTAATAGTAAAGTTTAATATGGTCTTTGACCAACACAAGTAAAAATCTACCTATGGACCTTGTTTAAGCTGATAGTTATCAGATAACAATAATAAAATATTACAAATTCTAATAAAATTTGTCATACTTTTGAAACACATTCTGAGGGAACCTGTTAATGGAAACTTAAAATACTACTTGACTATAATCCATTACTTCAGAACCTTTCAGCTAGCTTCCTATCCGATGTTGACGGATCTTTATTGCTGCCACGCAGAACCTGGCTACCTGCGCTGTAACGTAAGGCCAGTCATCCATAAGAAGCATTTGAAGGTAATCTGAATCTTGACAGCCAGGCTGCTTGCTGATCAAGGGAGCGAGCAATTTACTCCGTGGGACTTGGTAAAAGATACAACGGAGGAGAACATGACCCATGTCTTCTACTTCCTTGGCATCACAAGGACAAAGTCTTGCAGCTAATGGAATTTTTTTATATTTGCCGTCCAACACTGCTGAAGGAAGAGATGGCATCGAGCTAAGGAGACTGCTTTTCGATGACTGGGGAGCTCAAGCTGCGCTAGATATCTGGCAGCAGTGACAGTAAACTTGCTGCATGGCAGAGATAAAAAGGATGGAACCTTCCCTAAATCTGCTTGTTCTATATCCTCTGTCCTTTGCTTTTTGGCCATTCTTGCCTGCTCATATTCCATTGCTAGAATCCCAGCTGTAGAATAGCCTAACAGAGAGGTTGAGCTCGATGTCCTTTTTCCACAAGGATTGAAATTTCTCCTGAAGGATAAGTGGAGCTAGACCCTGCAGGTAGTACTTTATTTTTAGCCAAAAATTCAGCGAAGCTAGGTGCACTTTCGACTCGACCTTTATCGTG